GGATATTATATTATTATTTATAAAATTTCTCCTATTTTTTTCCATTTAGACCCCTATGGTAATTAGTTTTAAATATAATAACGCTTTTATTCGTTAACGAATAGTTTCTCAATCAATTTTAATAGAAATTAGCCCTGATTATTATATTTTCTCAATATTAGATTGGAACTTTTTATGAAAAAAAAATACACTTAATATCTTAAATTTGGTTTTTTGAAATATGTTTATATATATATATATAATTATGTAAATCTACTTTTGGAATTCATTCTTTAATTATTTAATTTCCCCTTGAAAATAGTTTTAATATATTATAATAGCAATCATTTGAGGCTAATTAATTGTTTTTTTATTTAAAAATCTATACATATTGATTAATCTTAATTAAAAAAATAAATGAATAGAGAAACTTTAAAAATTTATAAATATAATAAAATACAATCAAACAGCATTTAAAAAATTCAAACATCATGTCGCTTTTAAATTAATAATCAAAGATTTGCCCGATAGTACTGTCAGTTTAATTAGAGTTTTGTTTTGGAGTGATTAATATATATTAAGCTGAATTCTGAGTAATATTGGCATCTTTTTCACAATATTCCAAAATCAAATCTAGATCCTAGGTCATTTCATATATAATAATTTTAGAGTTGAAGCGCTCAAACAGCATATTGGACGATTATACAATCTGACCAAACAGACATTATGTTAATTTTTATTTAATACTAAATGTTAAAAAATACCCGTTTTATGGTGCAAAGATTATATTAGTAATATTTTTTATTATTTAAATAAACAGATGATTGTACAGAAATAAGTAAAGTTAACTAAATTAATTACGAAGGGCTTTTTTTTATTATTTAATTATTATTTATATAAACAGTCAGGGGTATTATAGATTTAGGTAAATTCATTTATTAAAAATACTTATGACTATTAGATTTACTAAAATTTGGCTAAAGCTATTAGCTTAAAATAGACATGTCTAATAATGGTGCTCTACTAATTTACATTATAATTATAATGCTTTTTTAATTAGAAATTTTTTAACAATCTCTGTAATTTTATAATTATGATACTTAAAGTGGGAACATAATACCCCATCTCCATATTATCCTCACCTTCCAAAATTTCAAGGGAAAGAGCCACTTATTGCATAACCTAAAAAATTAAGATGACATGAAATGAAATAATTATTAATTAGAATTACTTCGGTATACTTTTTTTATAAAGTCTTCATCGTTAATATATTAAATTCCAATATGATCACAGAGAAAATTCATTTCTAATCTTCTTTCATCCAGAAATGCTATTAATTTGATTGCGTGGTTAACTGAGTTCCATTTAGTGTAGTTAGGAGTTAATAAATACCTGCCTAATAATTTTTAAAATATGTCTGAGCCTTTAGAAGATTTGTTCTGCTTATTTCATAGAGTTTGTCATTTATAAAAAGTGGATCTTGATATCCTTTTAAAGTCTACATTTTTTATGGCTCCTTCAGCATCCACTGTTGCTATCAAATTCAGATTATGCTGATGACTAGTCATTTTCATCAGTTTAAACTGTTATCTTAATCATTAGTGTCTCATGCCATAAAATTTTTATAGGGATAGAGATTTAATCATCATGGTAAATAATGATATTATCAACCAAGAACATTGGCTGAACTGTATCAATTATAAAATCAACAATAACTTTATCAACCGAGAAATATTGGCATTTGCATTATTAATCAATTTAATTTGAATTGAATTGGTCTTTGTGTGTAGAGTCGCCTATAGAAAATTATAGATGTTTTTATTTCATTAAAACTGTTGGCATGAGCATTTTTATAAAATAAATACTATTAGAATTTGAAAATGAAAATTACCTTTAGATGTTTTTGAGGTTATAGCTACTGGATTGATTTGTGGATATATTTTTTTACATTATAAGCAAATAAATTTGTAACCAGTTTTGATTTTTATATTAATTTCAAACTATTAAATTTTGGAAATGAGAATGTATTATTGTTATTAAGAACATTTTCGTCCCGGGTATCTTCCATTTCATTAGTATCATCGCCCTGACTCACTTTCAATGATTTGGATATCCATTTGCGATGACATTTTAAATAATTTACACGTGATTAGGGTTTATAATACAAATTGAAAATATATTTCAATTTCAAAAATAAATCATATTATAATTAATTTTGATATTATATTTAAATTTCCATGTTTATAGTTATATTTATTATATTTTTAAAAAGTAGCTAAGTAGCCCGCTACCTACTTTCAAAAAAAAGGAGCGCGTTAAAAAAATAAATAATTTTAAAAAAGGCGCTATTAGCAGCTGGCTACTTTAAAAACTCTGCAATTTTGATTAATAATTTGCCCTAATTTAGGAATAATTTATAAAAGATTTTATGGAAAAACTAATATAAATTGTATTAAGTTCACATGGTAAAATTTTCTAAAAATCACAGAGTACGTTTTCTAAGTAAGCTATTGAAAGAAAAAACACAGACCCTAACATAGAGATGGATGAAAAAGAATCCATTTTTCAGGAAAATAATTATTTTATATAGTAGGTTTTTGTTATAACTTCTTTATGCATAAAATTTAAATATTTACTCAATCTTACAATTGTGATGTAAAAAATGATCATTTAAGACATTGATCAAACACCATATTTATTAGTTTTATTTTAAAATGTAAAATATTTCAGTTATTTTTTAAGAAATGAACCATTTTGACATTGGCTTTTTCAAAGGACCATTCAGGACATTGGTCACCATTTGCATTGCATTATATTATATGTATTTTATTCTATTTAAAATTTGTAAAATATTTAAGATAAAATTAATTTTTTAAAAAGATCATTTTGGATTGGTAGCTTTTATTCTATGTATACTTTTAAAGAACTCCAATCGAAATCATTTAAAATTATAATTTGTAAATAATCCGAGATTATGCTAATTAACTTTAGAAAAATTTGATTTAAAACTTTATAGATGAAATTTATAGAAGAGCCTAATTATCTTCAATGAGATTTCATTATATAAAAATAAAACTATTTGTGCAAGCAAATATTACTACATTATATTAAAAATATGGCATGTTTGTTTTTCATATAATAATCTTGAAAAATGAGTTCAAATTCAGTTATTCACAAATTTTGTGATAAAACCTCTTTCTATTAAGATCAATGATTAGTTTTGGAATCAAAATACTTCTTTTGTGCTTTGAAAAAAATACTAAGAAAAATAGTATATAGAAATATTTTAAAACCTATTCTTTTTATTTATAAAAAACTTTGTAGCCAGTGTTGTCAGATTCATTCAAAAAAAGCCTAAATGGAGAATTTAACCATAATTCAAAATAAAATAAATTTTTATAATATATTTTAGCCTATAGTTGAATATTTTTCACGATATTAAATTTTATTTCGTATATTATACAAAATGCATTTCAACAATTTTATTTACCTTTTCTAATCCATGAAAGATTCTTTAAATTAAATTCAACAAAATTTATGGAAGCATTTTCGAAAATCATTTTAAAAGTAATAATGATGAAAAAAAGGCTCCTAATTTCAAAAATGAATCAATGATGTTTGTAAAAAATATTTAGATAATATAAGGAATATCTTAACCCTATGACATTAGAAAATGCCAACATTTGATGAATTTCAAAAAATTTCTCTTAATTATTAATACCAAATTTAGATTCATAGATAATCTTTCTGAGAATATTCACATTTTTATTCCAATTACGAAGACAAATTATCCAAAGACAATCACGTGAATGCGCAATGAAGAATATATGCTATTTTATATTTTCCATTCCATATTCAAATGTCATCAGAGAGAACATTCAGCTAAGTGACTATTGCTTAGCCAAAGAACGTTTTCATTTACTTCACTGGAAGCTGAAATTATGATTAAACAAAGTATAATTGTTCATGAGAGTTTTCAGTCTATTTTCATAACATCGATGCAATCTTTATTGCCTGTTTAAAAATCATCCGTAATATAATAATTAATATTATGGTTTATTTTGGAAAAATAATATATAATAATTAATAATAGTAAATCAATTAAAAAATTTTAAATTTAATATTTTCTTAGAAATCTTGTTGCTTTAAATATAATCCAGAGATCCAAACAAACCGAAACGAATATTGATTCAGTTCTTCGAACCTCTAAAAACGGGTTTGAACACTTTTGTATTCAAACCTACATTCGAATTATGTATAGGGAAGAACAGGGATTCGAACCGAACCCGAACCCGGAGAAGTGAACCCGGGTTTTTAGAAAAAAACTCTGAACCCGAACCGAACCTGAACCCCATTTATAAAATTTCCAAAACCCCGAACCGAACCCAAGAATTTTATTTGAACCCGGGTTCAATCGGGTTCAGATTATTTAAAATCATATATTAATATATGTAAATACAAATATTATATTTTCAAATTTCCAATTAAATGAAGTCTTAATAAATTTTAAACAACTTAATTCATTTATGCCATTTTTAAATTTATTCTCGATTCCTATTGGAGTGTTAAAAAATTTTAAACAATTGAATTAATTTACGCCATTTATTTTTAAATTTTTATCTTATTATTCTTAAAGATTATTAATTAGAAGAAAATGGTTAACAAATCAAAGTAAAAATTATTATATTGTTAATTTAAAAAATTCTAAACATCTAACTTAAAAATTGTTAAATGTAGGGCAGTTTTTGTGAACTTATTAAAATGATTTTAAAATTTATATATGCTAATCATTTATTTTTGGTTCAGTTTAATTTTTACAAGATATTAATGAAGTGCATATTATGAATGAAATTAAATTTATAAATATCTCTTTTTTAATTCTGAAATCATTGCTATTTAAAAAAATTGTTCTCTTTTTATAGATTTAAGATTAAAGATAAAGTCATATTTGATAAGCATTTTACCCTTAATACAATAGAAAAAAAATCAATATGTTCATATTGCAAAGTAAAAATGTCTGGTAATCACTTGTCAAATTTAGAAAGACACCTGGAAAGAAATCACAACAATGAATATTTAAATTATTTAAATGAAAAAACCAAATATCAGGAATTGTTAATGGCAAAAAAACCTAAAATTAATATAGAAACCTTTTTTCCAAAAAAGCATATAAGTATAAATATATCATCTAATGATTTGATGAGTTCTATACTAGAACTTGTTACTGTAAATGGCCGGCCTTTATCAATTATTGAAGATTCGGGATTTCAAAGAATTATAAATCCACTCCTATCTGGGCTCAATTTAGTTATAAACAAAGAAAATTTATCCAGAACTATTAATAAAACAGCCCAATCAATTAGAGACAAAATATCGAGAGAGGTAGAAGGAAAATTAATAAGTTTAAAAGTTGATGCAGTTCAACGACTAGATAGGTCAATTCTTGGTGTAAATATTCAATTTATATCAAAGTCCATTATAAATTTGAGGACTCTTGGAATTGTAGAGCTGAAGGAGAGATGTACAGGAGAATATATAAAAGAGAATATATTAAAAACTTTACTAAAATTTAAAATTAATATTCAACAAATATACACAATTACTTCTGATAATGGTTGTAATTTTTTAAGAGCTATAAAGCTCCTGCAATCTGAAACTGATTATGATATAAGGAGTGAATCAGCAGATGAGGAAAATATGGATGTAAATGTATATAAATATGATATTGATGATATACAAAATACTTTTTTATCAACTATTATATCCTATCCGATTTATAGTGTACGGTGTGCAGCTCACACACTTCAGCTGGCACTTCAAGATGCTATAAAATTATCACCTATTGTGGAAACCATTGCAAAAGCTAGGAGCCTAAATTTAAAATTAAGACATCCCACTTACCAAAAGTTATTAAAAAATATGAAACTCCCTAAGCCTGTGTTAGATTGGCACAGATGGCATTCAACCCATGATATGTTAGAAAGGCTGATTTTACTAAAACCCAATATCGAAGATTTTTTTACAGAGCAATCTGATTATTTATTGACTGAAGATTGGAAAGAGATAATAACGATTGTTGAAATTTTAAAACCGCTAAAAATCGCAACCAAACAATTCCAATCTGAACAGTTAACACTGACAGATTTTTATGCAGCATGGTTAAGATGCTGCATCGAACTGGAAAAAAATCCAAACCATTTTGCTCAATTACTATATTCTTGTCTTAAGAACAGAGAAGAAAGGTTTATAAAGAACGAAATTCTCTTAGCTGCCATATACCTGGGCCCAAGATACAAGGTTAATTAAAAGCTTAGTAAATTAATTATTTTAGATTTATATTAAAATTGTTATTTTATGAAATATTTAAATATAAACAATATAAATCCTTATTACAGGTATTACTTAGTGATGATGATAAGATTTGTGCGAAAAAACATCTTGTCAATTTATGGAGACGAATTAAAAGCTTAACAACGCCGATTTTATCTGATGATATTAGTTCCGATGAAGTTATTGAACAAGAAGATGATTTAGAGAAATTGATACAACTTAAAGAAAGGCAGGAGAAAATATTTAAAAGAGGGCCAACGATTGCTGAGAAAAGTATTGGAACAATAATTACTGGATTTAGCGATTATAAAAGATTAGATAAGAAGGAAAATATTTTGCATTTTTGGGAGTCTGCTAAGCTGGAACACCCTGAATTATATATTTTATCTAAAATCTTATTTGCTGTTCCTGCAACCCAAGTTAATTTTTCATATTTTCACATATAAATACATTTAACATAGGTTAGCGTTGAAAGATCTTTTTCACATTTGAAATTCATTCTTTCACCACATAGATCGAGGCTGAGTGAACAACTCTTGGAAGATATTATGCTAATACGTCTAAATAAAATTTTTAAAATTGATACATGACTATAGCTTTGTATTTTTAACTATATTTGCCTATAAATAAAATAAAAAATTTATTTTTTATATCAAATTTATGTCTAGTTTTTTATTATGATTTAAATATAGAATTTTTTTTATCAACTCAAAAATTCTTGAACCCGAACCGAACCCGAACCAAACCCGGGTTCAAAAATATTTCCCTGAACCGAACCCGAACCGAACCCACCTTTTTTTTTATACCCCGAACCGAACCCGAACCGAACCCTGGCAAAAATTTTGTCGGGTTCGCATCCCTGGGGAAGAATATATATTTTTATTTCATCATTAAAATAAAAAACATGCATATATAAAATCTTCATTTTTATTAATTGCACATTATAAAATAATATTTAATTTATAAATATAACAAGTAAATATTAATGAATAATTTTAATATGAATAATATTTAACTTTATTTATTAAAAAAATTTTTATTAAGCCGCACAATTAATATATTTTCAAGATCTCTCAATCAAATTACATCTATAAGGAGATTACATTTAATTGTTGAAAAATATTTTTCCACTAACTTGGGTAGCCGGCACTGCCATTATGATCAGACAATTTACATAATTCTGGGTATCGATTACTCTGATTTCTCCAATAGTCTAAAATATTCATATTTTTATTTAACCTAGATTCTTTAGAAAAATTCTAAAATATTTTTTATATTCTCTGATTTTTGTAACAGATTTTGTTTGTTACCATCTTTTTTTTTAAGAAGACTTTATTTTTTATGAAGAGATTGAAAAATATATAAATTAAAATAAAATTATTAATTATTATATAAGATCTAATATAATATTTCTATAACATACATTAAATCTCAAAAAGGCATTATTGTTTAAAAGTTGTTTCTCTCTAAAATTCATAACATCTATTATTAACCAGCAAAAGGTGAAGTAAAAATAGAATTTCTAATTTAGCTTTTAGCCATATGCAATAGAAATTCCTTAAAGTTAGCTGCTCAAGTTGTAAGTTCTTGGTAGCTACTTTAATTGGTTTTAGGATATTTATAATTGCTTCCCAATCCAAATAAAATAAAGTTCACTGTATGATACTGATAATTCCTCACACATATCTTTTAATTCATTATCACAAGTTATAAGGAATGAGAAGCATATTTATATTTATAATAATTGAAATTCATTAAGATTGATTGTTAATTTATCAAGTACATTTGTGAAAAAACATCATTCAAATAATCTATATTTTGTATTTTGTTCTTCTTCGTCAATTTCAGACATTTGATTGTCATCATCACTACACTCCATAAATAATTTTACCATCTTAATTAAGTTTGCCAGATTGTTAGTTGTTATAGTGTATATTTGTGAAGTTTTGATTTCATAATCATTTAGTATCTTAATTAAAAGGAGTTTTAATTTTTCTGTAGTGGGCTGTTAAAAAATTTTTTTCATTGCTAGTGTTCTCAGAAAATTTTTTTTGCTTTTTGAATATATTGAAGATTGATCCCATTAATGGACCTGTCTAACCGAGTAACACAGTCAATTTTTAGAACTAACTTAGCATTTATTTCTTTTATTATATATTGCTGAATTGGCTAATTCCAACATTATATTGATATTTTGAGAATTAATTTTAGTATTACTCATGCCCTTCTAAAATCGGATCAAGAATTATTTTAAAACCGCTATCATCGATCAATTTGAATGGTCTCCTATTAAAAATGACCAACTTATTTATTTTTACTGATATTATTTGATCTTTTAATGCTTCTTCTATCTTTAATCAAAGAGGATAGTTTCTTTTTATATTCATGCTCGTAATTTTCTCCTTGATGGCCTTTAATATTTATTTGACAATCAGTAATATTACATTTATTTATATCATTTATAATACAGTATTCAACTAATTTATATATTGGATTTAATTTTACTCTAGGCATTATAATTTTAAAGCTTAATACATTTAAAAATGTTACAAAATGGCATTATACTAAAGTTTAAAAATTATGACTGACACTTATCAATCAAATGTGTTTGATAATAATCTTTAAAATAATTCGAATCTAAATTAAATTTTTTATAATATACTAGTGACATGACATTGACTTGATTAAGAAGATGAGAATATCGGAGAGTATTTTATTAGAACTCAAGGAAATTAGGGCTAATGTTGAAGAAGAATTTCATATTTTATTTGTTATTGTTGAGTCAAAAGCAGAGCTATACTTGTTTAATATTTGTCTCCCTCGATTGGCAGCAAGGCTAGCTCATCGTTAAAACATTAATATGGATAAGTAGACGAGTATATCTGAGATACAGTACAGATACACTTATAACCCAAATAAATGAATGGTTTTAAATTCATCATGCAGCACTTACCAATCTGCAGATATTACTTCCACAAAAGCCTTACCAACCTTTTTCAGATGGTGATGGAAAAAAAAAATTTGTTAGATTTTTATCATGAAGATGTTAAAGTATCTTATGATGCCTTATTAGTTGAATAACTATGTTTTAAAACTATCTATGGTTGATATAGTCCCAAAAAATGCTATAGATGCTTTGCATTATTTAAAACACCAAACACATTTTAGATTCTATTCCCAATGTATTAAAATGGTTTAACAACTCTTCTCATTAGTAAACTAATAAAAGAACATTCTCTTTTTTAAGAAGAATAACAGAGCTCTGCAGAGGTACCATTTGCAGGGCACGGCCCGGATTATTTATTAGAATTTTTTAAGGTCCGGTTTAGATTTTTAAAAATAATTTTTTAAGCTCGCCCCGGCTTTTTTTAAAATAATTGCCCGGATTTTAAAATAAATTATATTTCTTTTTGATTTTTATAGCTAATAATAACGATTTCAATTATGGGCTGTTTTAAAATATACATCCCGTCCCGGATATTTTCTTAAAAAAATTTTCAGGCCCCGCCTGTGTGTTTTTTAAAAAAAAAATTTGGGCCCGGCTCTGGTATATTTAAAAAACTAAGATAAGGTCCGGCCCCCAGGTCTCTGAAAAACGTACCAAGAAGTACAACTTCTGAAAGTAAATTGAAAGGAGTGGATCTTTAGAATATTCATATGAGATAATTGAAAAATTGTTCAATCCCAACGAAGATTGGATTTTACATGTAAATATACAACATACAATTATTCCTAAGAAACTTTTTGTTTATTAATTTATATTTCCAACATTTAAATTTTTTATATATATAAATTTTAAAGGCTCAAAAAATTCAAATTTCTATTTTGGGTCATTTTAAGTGATTCATATAGTTATATTCACTTTATGTTTTATAATTCGCTTTTATTTTATAGTTTTTTTATACCGCCAGTTATATCAGTTTAATTTAATTCACATTTATTTTATAGTTTTTTTTATGACGGTTTATGCATATAATATTTTTATAATTCACATTAATTTAAAATTATGTATTAGAATTAGTTATTAGTTCTAAATGTATGCTTGATATTTTTAAAAAACAATAATATTTCTTAAAAATTTTACTCCCCCCCCCCCCCCCCCCCAGACGAAATCCTTGCATTTGCGCCTGTTGGATTTTAAATATAAAATATATTCATATAAAATAATTTTCAGAATTAGATCGTTTTATAATTAAAGATGTTAACTATTTTGTTATTTCTTTTCTAAAAATAAACAATTTTAAGAATTTTATATTTTAAAATTCCATAAAAAGAATTCGAAGTGTAAATTTATAGGGTTTACATATTTTATAAAATAAGAAAAACAATACAGGTTTGGCGTGTATTATCAATCACTGTTTATAACTCATTAGCATACTCCAAAACGAGATACATTTTATTTTTTATTATATAAAATTAAATATTTATTTGGTAAGGGTTGGGTAAGAGTTTAATAAAATTGAAATTATATTTATAAAATTAGAAATTATTTTTATAACTAAAATTTTATTAATAATTTTTAAAATAACAGATATATCAGTTTAAGTTAATTTTAAATTTTCTTAATTTATTTACTCCTCTTTAAATTAAAATATGCCGCGATACAAAAATCATTATGAATATATATATTGAAATTTACGAATGCAAACAAGTAAGCCAGCTATGCTAAAGATTCATAACATGAACTAGATTGATAAATTCTCTAGCAGAAAATTATATTTCACTTTATCATAAACTTTATGAGCATGTTCATAAAATCCTATAAAACCATTATATATATTTCAATGAAAGAATGCTGAACGCTCGATTACCGAGTATTTGTATTGTTGTATTTAATGTATATAACAGAATTGTTAGAAGACATTTTAAATGGATCAAGATACAGATACATCTCCTAAAAATTAATCTCGATACATCGTCTCTTAACATATGAAGATACAATTATTATCATATTATATTTAGTGTTCGCATATTGTGCTCGAACAGAAACTCGAGAACATAAAATATGTAAACAACATTTTTATATGAATATCTATTAAATTATTAAAAAAATTTCTAAATAAATTTATATGCTTAAAATGATTTTATGTATCAATATTTTAATAAATAAAGGGCGTCATTGCTAAGCAAGGATTTATATATTTATTTGCAAGATAAAAATATTAAATCTTGAATTAATATCTATAGTTTTAAATGGGGAAAATATAATAATTAATGAATATTTATTATTTTTTTTATATTAGTTTTAATATTTTATATCTAATCTTTAAAATGTATTATATATATTTTTTTTTATATTAGTCTATTTTTTTTTAAATTTACATATATGTTTCAAATATTTAATTTTTAAGATAAAAAGCATTAAATAAAAGTATATCAAAATGTATCTTAAAGAGTATCTAAAATAGATACAGATAGAGACACTTTTATAAAAGTGTATCAGATGCGACATTTTTATATCTTGATACCTTAACGACTCTGGTATTTAAATTTTATTTAATTTGTAATAAAATATAAATATTGTAACAATAAATTATTTTTTTTAAAACATAAAACAG